TCCAAAATTAAAAATACCCGATGATTATCTAATATATGAGCATTGGAGATCAAGAGGAAGTGCCCCATTGACTGTGAGGGACCTGGACACGTGTCAACTGACACCCAAGCCTGTGCAAGGACCAGCACCGGCACCGCTTGCCGCTTCAAGGGAGTCAGTTATATATAAAAAATAAAAATGTTCTAAAAACTGTTAGAAATATTGTAAGGGCGGAGCGCTACTGGCGCTAGCTTAGGTAAAATACTTCCCAAAAGACGTATGCAAAATTAAGTAGGAGCGCAGCTATCGCGCAAAATTTACTTAAATTCGAAACCTTAGATATAAAATGACTAAATGAAAAATAATTAAATTACAATTTACTTCATTACTTTATATCAAATTTTTATAATTATAAACCAAAAACAAAAATGCATATGATAACACTACCAATGCAGTAAACGTGGTAAGAGTTGTAGACACCACACCCTATTTGCAGCTAACAAACGTACTGCTAATTATATTATTTGTAATAGCCTCGGTAAATATTCTTCTGCAAATATAAATTCTCCTAAATACAAAGTCACTGAGAAAACGTTACATGAGTAGGGCTAACGACCTAGGTAAGGTCTAAGCTTAAGTAGATGTTCCACATGGAATTGTCCCAAATAGTTGAGAAACTAAAGGTGCCTAGATCAAACTTTGAAAAATCATATTAGTCCGTTAAAAAAGCGCACCAGTTTGGCGACAAACCATAATCAAACACACTGAGATCCTTGTATACGAATACAATGAAATCAGGAGTTTAGTTAATGAATGTCACAGAGTCTAAACTTACAACATCTAATGGATAATCTTGTAAACTAAAACGAAAAATATAATCTGCAGCTTTATCTACCATCGGTTTTAAAAACACCGGTAACGTTTGATCAGTCACTCTTGACACAACCAACGGAAGGAAAAAAACAGAAGCGACTAACATAGTTAAAATGCCTCAATCACCTATAGACTTTGCAGAGAAAGTCGGAAGGCTTATTCCGGCATTCGATTCGATCCATTCCTCCTTGGTGGAAATGGGGGTCAAAGATTTGGTGGGTGACATTTCGCGCTCAAATTCATTTCCAGACATCTATAAGAAAAATAATTTAAGACGTGTTTCACACTTTTCGCAGAATTCAAACTTCTTCGGGGGGAATGCGATTTAAAGATTTTGTGTGCGTAATTTTAAGTTGTGTCCGAGTAGCTTCAAACTTATTTTCAAAGCTCTACATAAGAACATATTGAATACGTATTTTTTGCGATTTGGGAAATTCAACCCGCAACAGTGGTAAATTGGCGGAAAACGGTTGTATGAAAGTTTTTTGTTTACCATCCGATCGGCTCCAAACTCATTTTCAAAGATCTATGTTCAAATTAATTTGAGGGGTGTTTCACACTTTTTGAAAAATCCATCCCTCCTTGGTACAAATGGGGGTCGAAGATTTGGTGGATGACGTTTTGTATTCAAATTTATTTCCAAAGATCTATAAGAAAAATCATTTGAGACATGTTTCACATTTTTCGCAAAATCTAAACTTCTTCGGTGGAAAATGCATTTCAAAGATTTTTTTGGGGAATGTTAAGTTTTGTCCGATTTGCATAAAAGTTGTTTGATTCCCGTCCGATCAGTTTCAAAATCATTTTCAAAGCTTTTTGAAAACATTGATTTTTTTAACATACGTGCCACGGGCAAAGCCGGGTTATACCCGCTAGTCTGTTATAAAAACAAAACTTAAAGGGTATGCTAGAAACTTGATAGTAGCAGAATCAACAATTAAAGCTACATAAAGCAAGCTAAGATCATCAGTAAAAGGCGAATTAGTAGATGTACTGAACGCGAAATTGATTAACCTTAAGCAGAAGCATAAAACGGCAAGCGTTTACACCCAAGAAATAGAACAATTGTCCAAAGCACTGGAAGGTGCATACATTGCTGATGGTATTTCATCGGCCTTAGCAAATAAATATTCCGCTACACAAGCTGTCAAAGCAATGGTAAAAAATTACTCAAATGACAAAGTAAAGCTTATAATGGAGGCCGGTCAATTCAATAACATGAATGAAGCCATTTATAAATTTTGTTAACAGCTGCATCTATGCAACTAGCCGACCAGATACAGTTTTTTATTATAGCTATCGGCAGCCCAGTAACAGGCAATCTTCTTACAGAAATTGCAGGAATTGGCGAAGGTACAAAAAATTCTATCGTATTGGCCTATGTTATGTTACATTATACCTCATAATATTCATATCGTGCACGATAAATTTCCATTACCATGTGATGGGATTATCGGCATGGATTTCCTTACGAAATACAAATGTCTGTTAGATTTACAAGCTCCTCAAAATTGGTTAATAGTCTGACACACAAATATTAAAACGCATATCCATATACCAATCACGCATACATGCGGAACTAATTCCACTCTACTACGAGCCTGATCTCAAGAAGTTAGACAAATTAAAATAAAATAAATTGAACAAGTTTTCATACCCAATCAAGAAATAAAACAAACACTTGCATCCGACTATTAAACACCACAAATACTAATGAAATAGAAGACTTTGAAAATATTTCCTATGAGCCACTCAGTAAATACAATATTCTACACACACCTGATGTCGAAAGACAAAATCAAGTATTATCAAAATTAAATACAAATTTTGCCCAACAACTTACTCCCTCCTTTTAAAAAAATGACGTAACAAAGTGGAGTTATTTTACTTATATATTAAAAATGTATTTATATTTTTCCATATAACATTTATTATGAATTAAAAATCTTTAACCTATCTTTATGAACTGTTTGTTTTTTATTTTTATTTCCAGAGATAACTATATTATCTCTCTTCTATTTTTTCTACTATATAGGGCCCTGTGTGTATTTAAAATCTAGCTTATGGCCTACTACATTTCTTAGTAAAACTTTATCTCCTTTAGATAAAATTATGTCCTTAGTTTTTAAATCATTTTTTTTGTTTGTGTAGTTCAAGCATATTTCTTGCTTTTTTGTATGCTACTTCTAATCTATATTTGCTTTTTTTAGCTTATTACCCATATTACCTATGCTATTAAAGTATTTTGGTAGATTACTAGTCTTACCAAATACTAACTCATATGGACAATAATTATGTGCCATAGAGGGGGTTGTGTTGAAACAATAAACAAAGTATTGAAGCCATACATTTTAATCAGTTTTATTTACTGATATGTAGGATCGTATATATTCATTAAATGTTCTGTGGTTACTTTCTATTGTTCCAACGGTCTCGTGATGGTGTGCAGTTGATGTTATATTCGTTATTTTTAAATATTTGCACAAGTCATTTATAATTGAATTCTTATCCGTACTTGAGAATAAAAGATTCAAATATTGCTGTTGCTACTGTTGCCGCGCTTTTATTTGTCACTGGTATAGCAACTAAATATTTAGTCAAGTCACATATGAGCGTGACTGCATATTCATTGCCTTTTTCTGACTTTGGTAGTGGACCAATTGTATCCACTATCACTCTGTCAAAAGCCTTCATCGGGGTTTCAGTAATTGTTAAAGGGGTCTTAATATTTGTTGTAGTTTTTGATTTTTGGCATTTTTGACATTTCTGGATGTACTCTGTTATATCACGAGTCATACCTTTCCAGTAATAATGTCTTTTGACCTTGGCCAAGGTTTTTGTTATGCCTGTATGACCTGCTTGTACTGGATCCTCATGTAGTGTAGACAATATAGCTTCTTTCTCTTTAACATTTGTTATTGTGGTCACCGGGTTGAGTACTTAAGAATACAACAACCCACTCTTACTGATTCCAAAGAAACCTATTCCGAGTTCCATTGACAAAAGAGGGCGACTAGTAGTCGATTATCGTCAGATTAATAAAAAATTATTGGCTGACAAGTTCCCACTTCCAAGAATAGAAGTTCTTGATCAACTAGGACGACCAAAATATTTTTCATGTCTCGACTTAATGACATGCCAATTCTTAAAAGCCACTACAAGACAACAAAGTAAGCAAAATAAATCCTGCGCAGGACATAATAATAAAAATAAACAAGAAAATTTGCCAAGGCAAATCTTGAAATTGCTTCTGTGCCCAACGAATATCAAATCATTAAGGATGACGACATGCGAAAAGTAGGGACCTTGCGATTAAGACCTTTTAAATGTTTACTAAAACATGGTAAAAAAGTTATAGCAAGAATTGAGATTAGCAATCTGTATACCAATGGAATTCTCGAACTAGGTAAATTCTTCCAAAGCCTTGAAACAGAAGCCTATATAAATAAAACTCAAAGCGGCACCGTGGGAAAACACTTCAATAGAAACTTTCAAAAATATGGGCCATATATATTTAAAGAACTTAAGAGTAGGCTTCTCTAGCCGGTGACCCAAATAAATACAGATAAAGAAAAAGAAGCAATATTGTCTACATTCCATGATGAACCCATGCAAGGAGGTCATACAGGCATTTCAAAAACATTACCAAAAATTTAAAGACATTATTATTGGAAAAATATGACACGTCATATTACAGAGTACGTAAGTAAATGTAAAAAATGTCGAAAAGCTAAAACTACCAAGCACATTAAAACCCCATTAACCATTACAGACACACTAACAAGTGTTTTCGACAAAGTACTAGTCGACGCCACTGGTCCATTACCAAAGTCAGAAAATGGTAGCCAATATGCAGTCACGATGACTTGTGACTTACCTATAGCGAATAAAAGACACCACCAGACGTTAGGAACTGTGGAACGAAGTCACAGAACCTTAAATGACAGCATACGTTCCTACATATCAGATGATAAAACTGATTGCGACGTATAGCTTCAATATATTGTGTTGTAGTAGGGCGTCCGCAGGGCTTCCAGATGAACTTTGCTAAGTTGAAGTATCGTTGGGGGAGCGTTTCTGCTCTTCACAAATTTTCTTAGAAGGTTTGAAAAAAAACACGTTTGTTCACTTGCAGGTTATTTTTTCTTCTGTTCTATATTTTCAGAGTGCATTACAATGTATTAGTGTAAGTGAGGTGAAATTTCAGTACATGTTCCATGTACTGGTTCCGGAGTTACATGGCGGTTGGATGGCGACTGTCGGATACACTTCTTGTGTGAACATGCCGCCCGCCTTGCAGTATTGCAAAAAGAAAAAGGGAGAGGGAAGTGGCTCTGTTCCTACTATTGAGCGCAGGAGCCGGACAGTATCCACCCGAAGACCGTGTTTTGGGCCAGTGGTGCGCCGCCATGACTCGGCAGGACGCCTTGGAGAATTAAATCTGGATAGATATCCGAGCCCAAAACCAGATTGGAGATTTCCGGCTGGAACCAGCGATCGTCTGCCAATCGAACGTTGTTGAAGGGCTCGTTTAGTTTCTCGCTGACGAGCTTCGTTGGAGTTTGATACCGGAGATTTGGCATCACTTGCAGGATGACCTCTCGCTGGAAGCTAGAGGTCCTGGAACTTATAATGGCCGAGCAAGCGTTGTCTTTACCGACGCGGGTGACGGATAGCCCGGAGGCCTTTGCCAAGGATGCGTCGATAAGACTTACCGGACAGCACGGGTCTAAAAGTGCCCGAGTGTCGCGGGTCGCCTTGCCGTTTCCAAGTCGGATGAGTGCTCTCGGGAGCACGGTTGTCCTTTTGTGTTCCATTAATGTCGACAAGGAGATGGAACCAGCGGATGAAGGCGGCGCGGAGCGTCGCGCTTGGGCCTTGGTGCTGCGCCTTGTTTGGGATCGCTCTGGAGATCGCGATGGCATGCGACGCGCTTCTTGCAAATGAAGCAAGGTGTGATGGTCGCCCTGGCACTTGCGGCACTTGTCCTTGCGGCGACATGACTCCCCGGAATGTTGGTGAGCCAGGCAGTTTGGGCAGTATTTGTTGACCAGAACTGCTCGGAGTCTCTTCTCTGGAGACAGCCGCATGAACCGCTGGCACTTTCGCAGCGCGTGGACTCCTCGGCATACTCGGCATCGGAACGATTCCGTTGCCGGTCGGCTCTTGGATCGGCCTTGTTGTTGGCGTGGAGACATCGTGCTGTTACGTGAAGAAGGTTGAAAAAAACATAATAGACATTACTGATGCGGCTTTATACGGATGGTCCGCAGACCTATGGATCTAGGATTCTAGTCTTTACTGGAGATTCTACTGGATGGAAAATGGAGACTAGATTCTATCGGGAGCAGGATCAGCTTAGAGATAGGTCTCTTGGAGACACCTCGGGCTGTTAACACGTCGACCACTCGGACTCTTTGGTCGTCGCCAGGATAGGTCGTTTGGATTCGACCTAGACGCCAGTCATTAACTGGAAGATTATCTTCTTTAATAATGACTAGATCGTCCCGTTGTAAGTCTCGCGTTGGAGTTTGCCATTTGTTTCTTTTGTGTAACTCTAAAAGATACTCATGTTTCCAACGGAGACAGAACTGTTGTTGCAAAGCCTTCAAGCGCTGCCAGCGGTTGATGATGGACGCGGCGTTTTCCTTGATCTCTGGCTCTGTGGCGGAAAGTAGAGGACCCCCGACTAGAAAATGACCGGGAGTCAGAGCTAGGAGATCAGTAGGATCTTCCGACATTGGAGATATCGGTCTTGAATTCAGGCATGCTTCAACTTTGGATAGGAGCGTGGAAAGCTCTTCGAAGGTGTATTTGGAGGTCGATGTAGACTTATAAAATAGATTTTTGAAACTCTTTACACCTGCCTCCCACAGGCCACCCATATGCGGTGCACTAGGAGGGTTGAAGTGCCAGGACAGTTTCTGGAGACTGTAAGTGGCCTGGAGTTGAGTCTTAAGCGCTTCTACAAAATCGCGCGAGAGGACTTTGGCCGCTCCGACGAAGGTTTTGCCGTTGTCGGAATGCATTTGACTTGGGCACCCTCGTCGTGCCACAAATCTCGCAAATGCCGCTAGGAATTTTTCTGTGGTCAGGTCAGATGTAGCTTCTAGGTGGATGGCTTTGGTGCTGAAGCACACAAAGACGCACACGTAGCCTTTCGTAATAAGACAGGCTCGACCTGTGTAATTTTTTACATCGAAGGGGCCTGCAAAATCGACTCCTGTGTGAGTGAACGGCCGAGAGAATGTGACTCTCTCCACAGGCAAGTCGCCCATGAGCTGCGTTTGCAATTTCTTTTTTCGGATGACGCAGATTTTGCAGGAATGAATTGTGGATTTGACCAACACCTTCAGCTTTGGAATCCAGTACTGTGATCGTATTAAACGCATCATGAGCTGGTTGCCTCCATGCAAGGATATAAGATGGGTGAAAGCGGTCAAGAGACGCGAATATGCACATGTGTATGGCAGTATGATTGGATGCCGCTCATCGTAGCCGAGTGCTTCGGCCGCTCTTACACGACCACATGCTCGAATAATTCCCTTACCATCTAGAAAGGGGTTCAAATTAAGGAGTTTGCTGGAAGTGAGCTGTTTCTTCGTGCTCAAGCAAGTGTACTCTGACGAGTATGCTTGTCTCTGGGTCAGGAGAATGAGTCTTTCTTGTGCATAAGAAATCTCGTTGCTGTCAATTTCAATAGTTGACGGGAGCGACAATCGTTTGCAACGCTTGACGAAGCGATATATGTATGCTAACACTCGCAGGGCTCGATCGAACTTGGAGAAGCGCTCGAGGAAAGAAAATGAGGGAGCCGTGTTTGCGAGGTTTACCTTAATCGTACGTTGCTCTATTGTCGTATCTGGGAGGGGATCTGAAGGAATGGGCCATTGGTTCTGAGGTAGGCGTAACCATTCTGGCCCGTGCCACCACAGCTCATTGTTGACTAACGCTTGTGGTGGGGCACCTCTGCTCGCTAGGTCCGCTGGATTGTACTCGGATCGTACATGGGACCATTTATTGGAGTCGGTGGCCTGAGTAATTTTTGCGACTCTGTTTGCTACAAAGGTAGTCCAGGCGCATGGTGGCTTATGAAGCCAAGCTAGCACAATTGTGGAATCTGTCCAATAGAACCAGTCGCCGCCAGCGGAAGGTAGCTGGGGACTGAGTGCAGCGGATAACTCGGACAGAAGTGCTGCTCCGCACAGCTCTAGTCGTGGCAAGGATATCGTCTTGACCGGAGCGACCCTCGTTTTCGCTGTTAGGAGATGTACTGAGATGCGATCTTGTATCTCAGTGCGCACGTAAATGGCGGCCCCATATGCACGCTGCGAAGCGTCACAAAACCCATGGTATTGAATAGTCCCCTGTGGGCGGAATTCGACCCATCTAGGGATGCGAATCGCACTGAGGCCCGGATACTCTTGCAGAAATAAATTCCACTTACTGAGAAGACTCTCAGGTAGCGGATCGTCCCAGCCCAGTTCTTGGAGCCAGATCTCCTGCATGAATATTTTTGCCTGAATAATGACTGGACCCAGCCAACCTGCTGGATCGAACAGTTTGGCAATCTGTGAAAGGACTTCACGTTTGGAGACGGACTGTTTGGTTGTTAGCTCGGATGGAGCGAAAAAGAACTCATCGGTGTCAGCTTTCCATCTGATCCCGAGAGTCTTTGCCGAACAGGCTTCCTCGATCTCTAAAAAATCGGCGCGAAGCAAGTGGTCCTTGGGAATCGCTCTTAGCAAGTCCTTTTCATTGGATGTCCATTTTCGCAAGGGGAACCCGGCAGATTCAAGGGCTTTGCGGAGTTCTGCAATTGCTTGATCTGCCGTTGATTTGGAATGGGCTCCCGCTAGTACATCGTCGACATACATATTGTTTGCGATAATGTGACTTGCTAAGGGATAGAGCGAACGAACGTCATCAGATAACTGATGTAGTACCCGGATTGCCAAAAAGGGGGCACAGTTAACTCCAAACGTGACTGTGCTGAGTTCGAAGTCACGAAGCTCGTTGTCCTTTGTTCGGAACAGAATTTTCTGATAGGGCGTGTGTTTGGGATGCACAAGTATCTGCCGATACATTTTCGTGATATCGGCATTGAATACATATCGGAAGAAGCGCCATCTCAGAATTTGAATGGTTAAGTCGGATTGCAGAACGGGCCCTGCATGTAGCACATCGTTCAGACTTTTACCATTCGATGACGGGTGGGAGGCGTTAAATACTACGCGGAGCTTGGTCGTGAGGCTTTCGCTTAGTTGAGCCGCACATCGCTCGTAAACGGAGTACGAGTAATCATATTTAGCTTGCATAGCCACCAGGTCACTGCTGCTGCAAGCGCCTTGGTTGAGAGCTTTGGAACATAACTCGTACTCGCGTTCTACCTTTTCCCATAAGGTCTTAATCTGATCTCGTCGGACTTGGAGAGTGAACAGTGACACGTCACTGTCCGCTGCGTCATTGATCTTCACTTCAAACTGGCCTAGTCGGTCAGTTATAGAAACGAAGTCGTTCAGTGCCATTTCGCTTGACTTCTGCATTTTTTGCGTAGTCGAACGGGTAATTTTTGGGGTGATATCTCTTGTTGGAATCGGACTCACAGTCTTGCGGACGGTTGTGCTGGTACTCTCGACCTTGAGTTTCCCGAAAACTGCTCTAGGTGAGGTTAAAGGTCGCTTTGACTCCTTAACGGACGGTGCTGTGAGTCGTTTTTGGCTGTTTTGATCACCACCGATTGGCATACTAGGCTCTTCACAGAGCCAAAATTGTAATAACCAGGTGAAATGTGATCAAATACAAATAATTTGAATCAGCCGAGCGAAAACGGAATAAGAAATGGCACAGGAACGATGGAATCGAGATATCAGAATAAAATGGAATGACCGAAATGGTGTGCACTATTGAGTCCAATTGACTATTGACTAACAGTCGCTTATTCTCAAATCTCTCCGTCAGGCTCGCCCACGCTGACTGAAAGCCGTCATTCGTGAGCGGGGACTTGGAGACAATTGCCCTAGCTTCGCCGCAGGTTTTGGAATTTAGATGGAACAATTTTCCACCGGCGTCAATCTTGGATTGTTAATATAAGCCGCTGTAAACAAGTCTCGGAAAGTAGGCCAGTGTAGGTAATCCCCACTGAAAACTTCAGTGTCGCATGGCGGGAGACTGCAACCCCTGGACATGGAGAAGTTGGAGGGGGGTTGCTCAGCTTGTCTATTTAATGCCGTGGCTCTTTCTATTTTTTCACTTAGTTGAGCCGCACATCGCTCGTAAACGCAGTACGAGTAATCATATTTAGCTTGCATAGCCACCAGGTCACTGCTGCTGCAAGCGCCTTGGTTGAGAGCTTTGGAACATATCTCGTACTCGCGTTCTACCTTTTCCCATAAAGTCTTAATCTGATCTCGTCGGACTTGGAGAGTGAACAGTGACACGTCACTGTCCGCTGCTTCGTTGATCTTCACTTCAAACTGGCCTAGTCGGTCAGTTATAGAAACGAAGTCGTTCAGTGCCATTTCGCTTGACTTCTGCATTTTTGCGTAGTCGAACGGGTAATTTTTGGGGTAATATCTCTTGTTGGAATCGGACTCACAGTCTTGCGGACGGTTGTGCTGGTACTCTCGACCTTGAGTTTCCCGAAAACTGCTCTAGGTGAGGTTAAAGGTCGCTTTGACTCCTTAACGGACGGTGCTGTGAGTCGTTTGTGGCTGTTTTGATCACCACCGATTGGCATACTAGGCTCTTCACAGAGCCAAAAATTGTAATAACCAGGTGAAATGTGATCAAATACAAATAATTTGAATCAGCCGAGCGAAAACGGAATAAGAAATGGCACAGGAACGATGGAATCGAGATATCAGAATAAAATGGAATGACCGAAATGGTGTGCACTATTGAGTCCAACGAAATCGGAAAATTTTGTTAAATTAATTATTTTACTAATAATTTACTAAATTGATTCTTATTTAGTTTCTTTTACTTGAGAAGAAATCTAATTATTTCTTTATTGAAACACCAGAGAAAAGGATTTATTCTCTTTTGACAAAGCGGCCGTGTAGTGGAAACGGATCGCGCAAAAAAAATTGATGCTTATCGCTTATTGCTTATTGATTGTTGAGCTCAAGAAGAAGCACGTTTATTCTAAACGCAGCTCAATGGAAAGGTTTTTTTTGTCATAGAATTATTTGTATAAATTGTTATTTTAAGAAAAATCGCACGGATATTCGATTTATTACGCAACTTGGAAATGTCTTAACTTATAATTATGTTTTATAAATTTTTATAAGAATAAGAAAAAGTAATGCATATGTTTGTATTTTATTAAGTAAACGCAGCTCAATGGCAAGGTGGAAACATACAAAAATATAAAAGTTTCTCAGAATCAGTTTATCGAAAACCGATCTTGATACTTTACAACCCTGATGTTTGTTTACGTTTTGCACTTGCCAATTAATTGGTAAAAATAAATATATAAATTAATATTGAAGCTGCTGTGGAGGAAAAATAGCAAACGATACACATATAATAGGATGTGCGTGTGTGTGTATACATGCAGGTGAATTTGCACAGTGTGGTTTTAATTAACTAAATACCAATCAGAATTGTGTATTTTTTATTATATATTTAGGTATGTGATTATTTGGTGGAGGTCTATAATGGAGAAGCGCATACACTTGTTGTTCAACGGAGCGAAAGCCTATGTATGCAGATATGTCTTGATGTACTTGCGTACATCAATATGGCGATCGGTTAAATTTTTGGGTATGCACTTGTACATATATGTATATACATATGTACAGACACCAATATGGCGACCTTATCGGAGTCACTTTCTGTTTTATTTCTTTTAATATTTATCACTTTTTAGATGCCTTAATGGCCACGAACAATATTTTATCTGCGGGTTTTTTTTTTGAATTTTTTAAATACAATTGCCCCTCGCTTTAACCACGGACAATGTGAAGCGAAAAAATATGTTCAGACACACAAATATGAATTAATTAACTGGAGTTGCCGGAAATTTGGCAATGGACGAGTTGAGGTAGGTGCACTGCTACTTATCTTGTTTGAATTTGTAGCTGTTCCTGGAACCTTTTCTTGCAGATCCACCAATGCTTGCTGGGGCGAACTGGATATGCCAAATGTTGTAGAAAAATCCGGCTCGAAGGACCAAATGTTGTAGTAGGGCGTCCGCAGGGCTTCCAGATGAACTTTGCTAAGTTGAAGTATCGTTGGGGGAGCGTTTCTGCTCTGCACAAATTTACTTAAGGTTTGAAAGAAAAACACGTTTGTTCACTTGCAGGTTATTTTTTCTTCTGGTATATATTTTCAGAGTGCATTACAAGTAGTATTAGTGTAAGTGAGGTGAAATTTCAGTACATGTTCCATGTACTGGTTCCGGAGTTACATGGCGGTTGGATGGCGACTGTCGGATACACTTCTTGTGTGAACATATTGATTATTGTTACAATACAACTCCATCCAGTTTTTAGCAAAAATCAAGTCAACAACAACATAAATATTGCCATTGACAAGAATGGATATAAATAAATAAATCAAAACATAACCTCAAATCAGCGACTCGATCAAATGTAATATGATCAGCCCCTGGACGGCCACCGTCAAACGGCCACCGTTATGCTGACTTACGGCATAAGCGCTGACCATGCATCCCACGATTAAGGCCCGGGAGCGCAATGTATGAGAAGTACATAGCTGCACGCGCACTAATAGTTTAATGCAACTATATTTGACTATGTTAGCTGTAACATAGCTATGCTAAGTCGAATTTGTTAGCTACGAAAAGTTCATTTTTCATTTCAATAAAATCAGTGATAAAACTGATGTTGAGCGAACCAATTATATTGAATAGGAATATTTTAAAATCTTATGCTTTCTTATCATTTATTTCTTTTTGTTTAATCTTATGTTTTTCTAAAAGTATTCGCGCTCTTTTATACGCGTTTTCTAGTCTAAACATATCTTCTTAAAAATAATCTTCTATATTATATATAGGTTCTATGATATTTACACTGTTAAATTGTATTAGTAAGTTATTTTGCCTTCCAAATACTAGTTCATATGGACAATAATTATGAGTTACTGATCGTGTTGTGTTAAAACAATACACGAAATACTGTAACCATACGTCCCAGCCAGTTTTATCTACTGATATATATGAACGAATGTACTCATTGAATGTCCTATGACTTCTTTCAACTGTACCTAATGTCTGGTGGTGGTGTGCTGTTGACGTTATGTTGTCTATTTTTAAATATTTGCACAAGTCAGCTATAATGGAATTTCTGTTCCCATGTCCGTAATGAACGTCTTCATTGGACCGTACTTCAGAATAAAAGATTCGAATATGGCTTTTGCGACAGTTGTTGCACTTTTGTTTGCAACGGGAATTGTTACTAAATACTTTGTCAAATCACATATTAAAGTGATTGCGTATTCATTTCCATTTTCCGAACGTGGTAGTGGGCCAATTGTGTCTACTATCACTATGTCAAAAGCATATTGTGGTGTTTCGGTTAGTATCATAGGTGATCTGGTATGTTTCGTCGTTTTCGACGTCAGGCATTTTGGACATTTATTTATGTACTCTTTTACATGATTAGTCATGTTTTTCCAATAATATTGTCTCTTTATTTTTGCTAGCGTTTTATTTATGCCTGTTTGACCTTGAATTGGATCGTCATGGAATGTAGACAATATTGCTTCTTTTTCTTTTTCATTATTTATTTGGGTCACCGGCTTGAGTAGCGCTACTCTTAATGATTTTAAATTTTCATTGCCCAATTGTTTGAAAGTATCTATTGAAATTGATTTAAAGATCTTTTCGCTCGGTGCCACTTTTAGTTGGCTGATTTTAGATACACCGGCTTGCCATTCAAGCCTTTGGAAAAACTGACCTAAGTCGAGAATTCCATTGGAGTTCAAATCGCTAACATTAATTCTTGCTACAACTGTTTTTCCATGTTTCAATAAACATGTGGAATCTGTTATTCGCAAGGGCACTACCTTTCGTACCTCGTCATTTGTGATGACTTCGTATACGTTGGGCTTAGAAGCTTTTTCAAGACTTTGCTTTGGCAATAGTTCTTGTTTATTTCCTGCGCAGGAATTGTTTTGTCTACTTTGGTGCCTGGTAGTGACTTTCAGGACTTTTCTATTCATGTCTATTAAGTCGGATATTGTTTTCCTTGACAAGGCGTCTGCCACGAAATTGTGTTTCCCTCTCAGATACTCTACTGTAAAATCATATTCTTCTAACTCGAGTCGCATGCGACTAATTTTGAACTTGGGTTTACCATAGAAAATAAATATGTTAAAGGTCTGTGATCAGTTCTTACTGTTAAATGTTTGCCATATATATATGGTCGAAAATGTGTTATTGCCCAATATATTGCTGCTAGTTCTTGTTCTGTAGTACTTTTATTGCTTTTACCTTTAGTGAATGCTCTTGATGCATATGCAACTGGGAGTTGGAGTCCATTATAGTTTTGAGTTAAAACTGCTCCACATGCTTGCTTGCTTGCATCTGTGATTATGCAAAATTCTTTGCTATAATCTGGGTACTTTAATAAATTTGGTTGAACAAGTTGATTTTTTAGGTACTGGAATGCTTTTTCACACTCTGTTGTCCATTCAAATGGGACATTCTTTTTACATAATCTTGTTATGTGCCGTGAATATTCGGCGAAGTTTTTTATAAAACATCTATAATAATTGCAAAATGCAACTAATCTTCTAGCGCTGTCTGCGTCCGTAGGGACAGGATAATTATTGATGACGTCAAATTTTTTTGTTATCTGATAAGATTCCTTTATCTGTACATCTGTGAGCTAAAAACGTCACCTCGTGCATAAAAAATGAACATTTTTCTGGATGTAATTTCAGATTGTGTTTTCTACAAAGTTTGAAAACATCTGTTAAATTTTTAATCATATGTTATTCAGAACAACCAATAACGATTAAATCATCCATGTAAAGGAAAGCTTGTGTAGGCTCAAGGCCTGAGAATGCTATAGTCATCATTCTCTAAACCAAATGGTAATCGCGTGAAGCGATATGAACCATTGCTTGTTGAAAAAGACGTTATATTTCTTGAGTTTTCCTCAAGTTCAATTTGGTGGAAGCCTGACATTGATCAAGGCATGAAAATTATTTAGCTCGACCCAATTGATCAAGAATATCGTCAATTCTGGGGAGTGGAAGTTTATCGGACAGGCCGGAAGGGCTTTCTTTGGGACTAATAAAAGTGGGCTATTATAGGGTGAAACAGACGGTTCAACAATATTTTGTTCAATTAACTTTCCAACTTGGTGCTGGATTTCTTCTATTTGGCTATGCGGACATCGATAATTTTTTACATATACTGGTTCATCATCCTTAAGTCTCAATTTTTCCATATAGAAATTGTTTGTTGTAATTGGTTCGATTTCAAGTCCGAACACACCACTATACTGGGTGCATATTTCTTCAAGTTGTTTCTTAAACAAAGTTGGAAAATTTTTCTTAAATTGGTTAATTACAGACTCTTTTCTATTGTCTTTGAGATTTTGAACTACCTCGTAGTTAGAAAGTGATTCAAATTTTAAATTATTAATGCCTACTATTTGACATGTATTTGTTGTATCTTAATATAAATCGGACGAAAGCATTCTGGGCTGTTGCAATCGTGTTTGCAACATAAACACCCGGTTTAATTTCCTGATTGGGAACTAAAATGTTTTCTTCTGCTGAAGACAACTCTATTTTGCGTATCACTTGGGATCTTGCTGGTAGAAGTGTTGAAGTGAATAATTAGTACCAGAACTAAATGGTATTGGAACATAGATAGGATACGTTAGGTTTTGCGGTCTAATTATAAACCAATCCTCGGAACTATTGTAATCTAATTGGCCATTAATTTTTTTTATGAAATCTAATCCTTTTATTCCATCTGGATGAAGTAGATGAAATTTTTATGGAATAATGTATTTGTCTGTCCTTTGGAGTTTATTACTCCTTCTCCTATGCCTCGAATGTCTATAATTCTATTGATTTGGATGTCATTAAAGACATCAGAATTTTCTTTTATAATTGAAATATCTGCACCTGTATCAATCAAACATGTTATCTTTTTATTTGTTACAACATTTCTGAATGATACGAAATTGTTGAGACTTAAGTTAAGAGTATATATTTTATTATTTAACCTTGAGTATTTGGAGGTGTCTGGGAGTTTCCCGAAGTATTTTGGGCAACTCGAACATTATTGTTATTGTTATAATTGTTTCTATTTTGGTTGTTGCCTGGGTTGGAATTATTCCTACCTCGGTTATAACTTCGTCCATCTCTATTGTTGTTTCTGTTATTGTTGTAATTATTATTATTGTTATAGGAATTGTAGTTACCGCGGCCATTGCCTCTACCTCTTTGCGGTAGGTAACTACCTCCTCTATTGTTGCTGCCTCGTTGGAATAATATTGTTCTAGAACTTTCAGTCATTTATGTGCTGCAATGGATGTATTTACCCATTACATCATTGAAAGTAACGAAGTTACCTGCTTCCATTATCATTTTCAGCTTTTCATGCTCGCAATTTCGTGTCATTGCAGTTATTGATTCTTTTGTGGAGAATTTTTCTGCATTTTCTGGGTCTAAGCCATCATCAATATATGATGCTTCCAATTGCTTTCGCAAATTGTCCATTTCCATTGTATATTGTGATGCTGTTTTGCCCTTTTGTTTAGTATTTGCCAATTTAGCTTTGAGTACGTCAGAAGATTCTCCTTTTACGTTACTTTTCAGCTTGTTAATGATTCCGGATATAGTAGCTTCATCTTGTACTTTTTACAAAATTGTGCCGGATATTTTTGATTTAATAACCTCAACTGCTATATCTTCTTGGTTGCCTTTGGTTCTTTCCACAATGCGCAAAGCAGTTAGGAATCTGTTAAGTGATAGTTTTTTACCATCAAATTCAGGGACTGAAGAGGAAACCTGCTTCACATATTCCCTATCTAAGGCTACTTGGTTAGTCATTGTAATTTCTGTATTTTCCTAGAGCGTTTCAATATCACTATCACTATGTGAATTGATTATTGGTTTAGACTCATCTAAATCTTGTAACTGGTTCTCGTTGAATTCAGCTAGCAGATTTGGATTTTCTGGGATTGTTATTACAATACTCCGTCTAATACCAATATTATGTAATCTTATTTTTAAAGATTTTATAATTTTCCGACATTGATTTTTATGCTCCTGTGTCAATTTAGCATTGAGT